TGTGAAGTTATGAGTGCATTTCAGACTTTGCCGATGCGCTCATCGTGATTTTTGAGGCATTATCTATAAGAAACAACTCTTATTTTTGCTCTAGCAAAAGTTTGCAACAGGCCCATTGTTATGGAGGACTGGGATTATCCGGTCAAATATTCATATGTGGATCAATCCAAAGAAAAATTATCCTTAAAAATTAAGAAAAATAACGGTTTGTTAAGAACATGCTCTGGTCAAAGCGAGGTCCAGATGCCTTTTGGTCCCCTTTCCCTGAGCACGCTGACCACGCCACTGCTCAAATCTACAGTGGGAGTTGTAACTAACGTAGACATATCATACGGTTATGTGAATTGATGACTTGGTGCTTTTCGCAACACTCATCATCCATCACTCACAGCTCATTCCTGATGAGCAACGAGCCGTGAGGTCTTCGCCGAGACCTGCCGGCGCCCGATAGCACGGTTCTCGCCGAGGCAACAAACCTGTAATCCCAAAAGAAATATATTTCAATCACTTTTCTTAGTCTCACTTGCAGCCGCAGGGGAAGACTGGAGAGCGAGGATGTCCAGCCGGTGCGGGAGGGGGGAAGGGGTGCAGATAAGCTTGAAAAAGAAGAGGAGCAGATGAAGAGACGCGACCCTTTCGGCGGTGTCATTAATCAATGAGCCAGGAGTTGGGTCCGAATGTTCTCAAATGTCCAGAGACTCCAAAAGAATTTCCTTGCCTTGATTTTCCGCTTTACAAAATGTTTCTATGGATCTGGGTGTTTCGTTGGAAATTTTAAAACTACCTAGTGCGACACACACACCAGAAGAAGAAAAAAATTGATGCGTCCGGTTAAAACGGAGAACTTTCGTTTGTAATGCAGCGTGCTAAAATACCTGATTTGGACTGAATATGCAAGAAATTGGTCAAATTATATCATACCATAACAAAGAAAATGGATTTTAAGGTCTTTTTCTTTCTTACGACTCACAGGGTGTCTACTGAAATTTCACTTTGGGTGTTGATTTCGCCTGAAATTTCAAGATGTAGTTTTGTGATTTTTCGTGGGCGACATTGACACTTTTGAATTTACAGGCCAACATATTTGATGAATTGAATCAAAGGTTTCACTTTTGCAAGTGCCTAACTGCGTTTACTTAAATCAAGCTTGACGCACTAGGAATTTCCTGATCCAAAACCGATTTTCCTCGTATTCTTCAGTTTTTACCAACGATAGACGCTCAGACTTGAAGTACGAAATAAACTTGGAAATCAATAATAGAATGCCGCAAATTATCTATGGGCTGTGATTTTTTGGCAGTAAAGGGCGGAGGTAATTGTGCACTTTTCGGCTTAAATTCAATCATTGAAAAATATTTTGTATGAAAATATGGCTTGATTATTTCCTGTCGAATTCAGTCCATTCTTCATCATTTTTCATCCGTAAAGTCTTGAAAATGATCCGTCATAAATAGTAAAACACAAATTTTCGCTCGACCATTGACCATTTAAGTTATTGCTGGACACAATCAGGCATGTTACAATTAAACGGTTTCATTAGGTCGAGAAGTTGAGATGGTGTGTTAAAAACGGGAAAATTCTGAGGTTCGTCTATAGTTCGAACGCCGCACACTTGATCGAGTAAATCAGAGAGGTCGGACATAAAATTTTTAGCTAAAACTGCAAATTTTGATGTTTAATTCGTCATATTTTAAATTTTATGGGGTGCTTTGAGAAGTAAATTTCACTAGGAAACCAATGGAACCACTCTAACAACCTTGAAGTGTTGTATAAACGGAGTTAAAAGCGTTTAAAGTTTTAAAATTTTGTCCAACCTCTCATATTGACTCGATTCACTGTGTGCCGGAGCCCTTTGGCGCAGCACGTGTCGTATGCGGACAAGACACGCTTTTTTAGCATCGCGGAAACTTCAAGTAATTCAGAACTGGGTCATTTGGGAACTTCAGCTTTGATTAAAAAAGTTCTCCGTTTAAGAACATGCAGCTGTGCTGTGTGCACCCTGTGGGCCAGCCCTCGAACAGAGTGCGAAAACAAAATCTCATCAGCACGTTGCAAGGTACGGTACCTGTACAACATCGACGCTTTTCGAACCAACTTAAAGTGTGAAGTTGCGAATTTTTCGAAAGGGTCATTAGTTTGGGAAGAGGCCTCAATTTCCCTCCCTTTGGTGGTGATTCAGAACGTCACATTTAAAAGGATATTTGGCAACGTTTCTCATATTTGTAGTTAAGTAATTCCCTCTCGACAAAAGAACCATATCGCCTCCGAACGAAAGAACGTCACAAAAAAGCGATAGATATCGATTTTTCCACATTGGTAGCATTGAAAGAGGATATGCCAATGCTATTATTTGGATCCAATTCGATAAAATGGAGAATCCCTATGATGACATCGCCATTAATAGCGTATAAAAGGTACTGATCAGAAAAATATTAGGTAAATCACTGAAATATGAGTTTTCTCATCTTTTCATGTAGAACACGTTGAGCATATGCAATTATTCCAAACTGTATTTATAATGAAAAAGGATTTACGGAATTGAAAAAGTTTGTTTTCATTTTAGTATATGTGCAGTATTGTGTAGTATACATTTTACTACTTGCCTAAGTCTCGAGGTGAACATACCTACAACGGACAAAATTCAACAATATGAATGACGACGACCTCTTCGACCTTTTGAACTTTCAAATTTCAATCATATCGTATTATTACACATAATGTATGAAAACCATTTTCATCTCAATGCATTGAAAATTGCATTGACTATGCAGTTGGCATTTTCTATTGAACGTTATTTTTGGAAAATGAGGTGACACTTGCTTCGTTTGACACACCCGCTCTTGAGTGATCACCTTATGATATGGCTGACAATCATAGCCTTGGCAGTGAGCATGGTTTTTTTTCCTGAGAAAATATTCGCAAAAGCATCCACTCAATCAATTGACATAGCGACGAAGAAGTTCTTAAACCACGTATCTCATGCTCGTGATGTTGCAGACTTGTACACAAAATTGTAAAGTTAAGGGAATTCAGGGTGATCCAAAACGTATCTTGTCGGTGCCCATGTCGAATAAAAACAATGTTTCTGAAAACGGAAGACGACAGTGACTTTCAATGATCGGGCGGTTGATTAAAGTACTAAAATAATCACTCAATTAGACTACAAGTACACAAAATGAAATTCAAGTGCTTCCTACTCAAGTTGGTAAAGCGTATCTCAATTGGACGTATTTATGATAAAAGGAACTATGTGCATTAGATTTGCGTACAACATAGTTCCTTTTAGCATAAATACGTCCAATTGGAAAGTTCGGACAAAGATCGGGAACCGCCAAGGACTATAGCTTCAGATAAACTCGCATATCACTTTAGATCAAGCGCAGTATTAACCGATTGCTTGTCCATCTCTGTTCGCAATTCAAGTAAGTTCCTAGAACTAACATTTTCGGCAAAATTACGAGAAAAGTTGAGAAAAAACTCCCAAGAGTTCTTCTCCTCTGATGACATAATCACATTAGGAAATTCAGGCGATAGTAGTGTGTCCAATATAAGGGCTATATGATATGTAATTATAAATATATTACCCTGTCCATATTCGCTCTAAAGAAACACTCTCGGGTGCTCATTTTACGACGAAGTTAGTGAAATGAAAAAGATAGATAAACATTTGTCTCAATAATTGATGCAATATAATATGTATGTATAAATACAAATAATAAAGTAAAATCTCGAGAGTCTCAGCTTACTTGGTATAAACTTTGAAGGCATTGGTCTTGAGACAAGATCAATGTAACCTGTTCTCAACAGAGAAGTGAGGAACAGTAAAAATTTAGCTCTTTTTTTTTTTTTTTTTTTTTTAAAAAAAAATTATGTTTCTCGATTTAATACTGTTCGTCACCATCTGAGGTTTTGCAGAGGAATGATCTCATTAAATGCTTAATTTTTTAGTAAAGTTGTGATAACCTTATGTTCATAGATCGTGAGGAAACTATTGTAGTCTTCAACCGGCTGGTGCATGGCCATGATCTATAAACTCCAGATAAACGCAAATGTATGAGTGAAATATGACGTAGAATTTTAAGATATGTGCAAATACTGGATAGGGGAAAGTAATAGGCAAAACATTGAGAAAAACTAAAATGAGAGAGCGCTTTCATGAAAGTTTGAAAATCATGTTGCCCATTCGGGTTACCCTGCCGAACTATTCATTAATATTTTCAGTGAACAAGTTTGAAAATGAAGTAATTTTCTTGGAATTAATTTAAATTTGAGAGGATAAAAAATTTTACCTGTGATGGACCACTTATAGAGAAAGCTAAAAAAATGAAATACTACAGCGCATGGTTTCTTGCGGTCCTGATGGTGTTTTCTATCCGCAGGACTACAAATGAAGACGATGCTGGGATCGCAGGTCTTATCACTTTTACTCGTTTTTATCATCTTCGCAACTGAGGCAGCGCATGTTCCTGAACCTACTCTCACGGGGGAAATCCAAAAGGATGCCGTCTTCCCAAGAAGATCAGAAATGGCGTTTTTCGGTCTTTTTAACCATTCATGGTCGATCGGCGTTTCTTGTGACGACGAAACGTAAGATTTACATATTTTGACATTATTTCTTTCTAAATGATATAATATTATTCGATTCCAAGCTAATACATTAAGGGGTTCAACTTTAGTCAGGTAGCGTAGGAAACGAGGCATTAGAGCATCACATGCGGGCAGTTTTTTTCGAAGAAGAAATAAATACTTAGATGTAGGTACGCGATTCATCACAGTGGGGATAAGACCTTGGTTTGATCAAAAAGTATGAGCCAGTATACTTTTAATCCTTCATACTTCAATGGATTTCATTAATAAGACATTTCGAACAATACGTGTTAGTCAGCGTCAGAAATCGACAAGAATAAGTCATACTCAAAGAGGTGCTGTAGAGCTAAAACTAAAATTGAAATCTCCAAGTCTGCCCTAAAATTCCACAATACAGCACACGCATTTACTGTAATCAAATCATCCCATACATCACGAAAAAGATAGCAACAAAAAGCGTAGAAATTATTTCAAGATCAGACTCGAGTATAGAGACGTGGTTACACGGGAAAGCGGGGGAAGGAGCCCCCTGGTGATTTTCCAACTTTCCATCCTCTTCCATTCGTACCGGGCTTGAAGTGCACCATGCAGTGCAGAGTGCACCCCCCCCCCCCCTCTCTCCTGGCTTGGAAACCTACTCACTTACGGCCGTAAGGTTTACAATTATATTAGTATCAAGTCCAAATACTTATAATCCAGCACCTAGATTTTTGCGATCCAGTTTTTGAACAAAATTATTCAATGCGTTACGTTAAAAAAGAATCTGTTTCTAGTACACAAATTAATTCTGCAAAACGGAATTTCGCAAGAGAGGCAAGAACTGATTTTTTTGTCGAGCAGGAAGATTACCAGAATTTTCTGGCAAGTTCAAAAGATCGGAGGATCAATATTTCAAAGTCCTGAAATGTTTTTTTCAGAGGGAAATTTTCGATACCCTCCTCAGTTGATTTGATTTTTTGGAGTTACTACCTTTTTCAAGAAAATGAAGACATACCCAAGAATGTTAAAATAAAATAATAGGTTCAAAAGGGGTCCTGAAATTTGTGACACTCATTTTCGTTATTTCTGTAAAGCTATTCTGTGAAGCAAAGGAGGTGTAACTTTAAAATGAAGACAAAAATTTAGAGGCATTGCTATTTTCCAAAATGAAAATATGATAATATCTCATAAAATGTGTAGATACCATTCAGAATGCCGAAAATACACACCAAAAAAAATAATTTTAAAATTCTGGGCTAACGTCCCTCAAATGGAATCTTGACCGTTGTGACTGTTTGTGTTCGTCCTATTTTTCAGTTTGAAGTACCAGGGAGAGATCAGCTCCGAAACAGTCTCGCGAGTAACATTCCCTCAAAACAACACACAGAGCGACAAAATCATCAACCGTTGCGAGTTCGTGGACGAACTGGCTAAGTTTTGGGGCGGTTACGTGTACATCGATAACGGAATTCCTCCCTTCACCACCACCATCACAGTCGCCATTATTCCTCAATCATACTACGGATCATTCAAATTCCTAATTAAATGTTACGTTGTCGATTCGCTTATAACGAGTAGATGTCTTCCAACTTCAAATGATCTTGAAACGGCACCGAAAGATGAGGGCAAGCTAAACCGTGGCAAAAGTTGAAAGTCTAGGACATCNGGGGGGGGGGGGGGGGGGTGCGTACACCGAGAGAAAAACTTTGGCTTATATGGAACACACATGCTATTAGTCCAGGTAACTGAAGTGTTAGGTCATATAGACCTAATGCCACGTCAAAAAACTGTTTATAGTTTTTGTTAAGCATACTAAGAATGTTATTCACACGAAAAATTCCAGCTGTTTAAACCTGAGTTTGGTACGTTCGACCGAAAACCTCAGTAGAGGGGATCGAAAACTTCAACGTTCCATATATGTATGATATGAATAAGAGCAGTTCTTGGGACCGAAGTTTTTTTTTTTCGGTGTACAGGGGAGAGTGGAAATAACGGGATCCTTAACGTATCCTTGTATCCTTGTCTCTCTCAGAGAATACACCAAGCTTAAATTCTCATGGTTCTAAGTTTCTTAAAAGTTCCAAGACACAGGAGATATTATGAGCTTCAATTTCACATCGTTGCACATTAATTTAAGTTTTTGGACTTGAGACAGCTGTTGAACTGTTAGCTGATTATGGTTCCTCCTTAATAAAAGTCTGAGTCAGCGGCATCACTCCGATAAGAGATTTTACAATTGTGGAAAGCTTGGTATGGTTTAAAATTAATGTACTGAAAGACATATTTGCCCATTGTCGGATGGTCCCGTAGTCTAATTTCACGTGATCATATGTCAAAAGCCCGGGAATAGGAGATTAGAGGGGAATAGAAGAACATTGATGGACCATGGGCACCGCTTTCTTGAGGAGTTCATCCCGCATCACAATTTTCAAGGAGCGTTGTGAAGTTATGGCCCCAGTGTGTGGGAGTTAGAGCGCAAAAGTTTGCAAATTATAGAATAAACTTAAGAGGTTTGAGCCGATTTGGCTGATAGAAGCCTAAAAGCGTAAAATACTCAATTTGGTTGGTTGGAAGTGTTACTTGTATATTTTGAAATATACGAGATCAAAAAATTGTTGACTCGTTTCCTTTTTTCCTCGCACACTGGTAAAAAAACCTCTTGGTTCTAGAGTGCAGTTTCTTGTCGCCGGATTTAAAAGTCTGGACTTTTGTTTTAATGCAAAATCTGCTTGAAACAAGAATTCAAGACTCTTAAATCCGGCGACAAGAAACTGCACTCTTAAGTCAATGCACCGCGGCATTGGTCCAAGAGGTTTTTTTTTAACCAGTCATAAATAATCGAGAAATACCATTTGAAAACAGGAAAAACTTACTTCAATTGCTGATTATTGGTTGAATTACTTCGAGAAAAGATTATTCGTACCTGAATTCGTTCCTGAAACAGAAAAAGAAGAAAAGTAAAAAATGATGTTTCAATGTTTTAGGCAAGTCTCGTTTAGTTACATAAGATATACAAGCAAGCTTGTGCACGTGGATATTAATTTATTCGATAATTGCGGGAGAAATTAGCTTTAGACCAATTCCATCAACGTTTAAAAAGTATAGTTCTCAACGAATTTTTATACATCTTGCGCGACACATTTTGAATATTAGCTGCTCGCCTATTCTCTCGTGCTAAGAAAAAATGGCGTAGGAGCATTAGGGCATTGCGACACTTTCCCCGATAAATATTCACCTTCGAGAAAATTCACGAATATTTATACTTGAAATTTTCTGATAGTTCAGTTTAAATTGCGAGCGCATTTGCAAGAAAAATTGAAAGAAAAACATTCACGAATTTCCAAGTAAATTTCTATTTTAGGAGGAAATTTGGCAACGTCTAGAGACTCATGCGGTGCTCTCCCTCAGCACGGAATGATTGATTACGCCAATTGGACTTCTTGCAATAATTAGGTACTATTTCTGACTCATCCGTAAAATCATGTAAGTGAACAGGAAAAATAATGGTGAATACGTTGTTTCTCATCTGAGCCAGAAATTGTAGATCCTAATTGAAAAATGTAATCGTATTATTGTCTCTAGCAGAGCGTCGGTCTGCTATATGCAAGATCGGCCGCCATCACGCCTGAAATTTCTTGAGTTCTTGAGAGCCTCTTTTTTCAAAATTCTGGGGCGCTCGAGTTGACAAACACACATACGACATGAATCAAGATAAAATGTGAACTCTCATGATTGATGAAGTTTTTTCCCACCATCAATTTATCTTTTTAGCTTTAATCCCAAATGTTATAAACCCTTCTGTCCCACAATTCTAAAATTCAAAACAAGAAAATTGTTGACCAGAGCCTCATAACAATAGATCCGATGGATTTTTTTTTTTTTGAGCCTGTGACCCTGTAAAAATTTTAGCTCCTGAAATGGATGTCTACGTTGTCAATCTTCGCATAATAACTATCCAATTTGCATGGGGTAATGAAGTGAAATTCTGGAAATTCGCTTTAAAAGCTGACAACGCAACCGCAAATCCCGACGAGAGAGGCAATTGGCGAGGGTTAATTATGTAAATATTGAACAACGCGAGCCTAACCTTGCTATCCAAAAATTAAATTTCAACCCCACGTTTGTCTCGCTATCAAACAAAAGGGGGAGGGGGTGGGGGTGCGTTAAGTCGCCATTTTCGAAGACAGTCGTGGAAACGATCCCGGAGTAACTTGCGCTTTGTTCATAATTGGCATCGCTCCGTTGTTTCTTTTATGACTGTCTCTCGTGCTGGTCTTGTTGAATATGTTGTCATGTCGTCATGGAGGAAAGCTTTTTTTTCTCATTTTCGGAAATTTTAGCAAGTAAATGAAATTCTCCGGAATGAAAGCATAATAACAAACTTAAATTCCGCTTGAAGTGGCATTTGGTGTAGGCTTTCAAGCGATGCTGAAGTATTCTTTACTGAAATACTGAAAATTTAAAGGTCTCGATTGATGGGTCAAAGCATTCTAAATCAACAGATTCTTTTTTCGGCATGCAGGCTACCTAATAGCATGAGATAAGCGCAAGTCAGGAAGGCAAAAATGGAACTCTGAAAGCTATGATTTGGAAATCATTGTTTGAGAATTTATAATTAATATGTAGCTGAGCGAAGCCTTAGTCGGATTTGTCAACATCTTTAATTTGACAAAATCACTGAAATCGTTGACTTGCTCTGGTATGCGAAAAGCGGACGAGTTTCAAGAAGGCGCCTACCTGTTGTAATATTAACACTTTTGCAACCAACAATTTTACCCTCGGTTGAGGCGTTCGGTGCAGCGAGATCACTTTTCCTCTGTTGCTAATTTAAGTTTCACACTTTCGAAGAGAAAAAATAGAGTGAATTTTTTGAAAATTTACGTTCAGAGTGTTATAAAATCATAGAGAATAGCTTTGATCAGAGTGCATGAAACGATAGCGGAGATTCTAAGATACCACAATCGAGAAAGTGCTTCTTTTTTTTCATCCAGCGATTCAATTTTGTCCAGAATTTTCAAATGTTTTTTTTTTTTTTTTTTTTTTTTTTTTTTTTTTAAATTTATTTTTCATTTATTTATCAAGTTATTCTGTCAAGTAGATCCAGTGTGAGATTTTCATACACTTATCCACAAAACTGGCAACTCTCATTCAGACTGCAGGCCCCAGGAACGGCTTTATCTTCTTTGCTGCCGAGGTAAGGAGAAACGCATTAAGAACCTTCAGACGTTTCCAAATTTTCTTTGATAAAATACGAATTCATTGGAAAAGTTGTTACTATTTTTCATCCAATTTTTCAGACAATTTTGTTCGCAATTCAATCGAAAATATCTAAAATTGCAAGCAAAAATACGCATGACTTTCTTCCAAAATAATTTTTTAAACAGGGGAAATTTGGCGACATTTAAATTTTCATACGGCGTTTTCCCTTAGCACGGCAGTGTGCCCCTCAAAGATCATCCTCCCTCTAATCTCTTTGTGCCCACATGTTAACAAGAACTAAAGTCGCGTAATAACCGTCTTCCTCCCTTCGTCCGACATGAATCCCTGGATTCAAAGGGGCAAGAACGAGAGGTGGAAGACATTCCGACTTTGCCGACGAAAATAATAGTTATATTTCTTTCGGCTGTACGTAATCAGCCGTGTCTCAGCCGCGTGCGTTGCTTTGAGGTTGGGATGAAAGATGAAAGAGAACGACTGTATTAGCTATTCCTTTTATTTACTATGAACATGGGTTTTCCATGAAACAAAGAGACATATATTTTGGTCCCAAATTCATTTAAAAAATTAAATCAAAAAAAGTCGTCCGGCTTTAGTCTTCTTGGAAAAATTCCAAACGTTGCCCGCAGCTCTGATAACTAGACCGCTTTCAGCAGAGAGGAACCAAGCCATATCAGCTACTGCCAAATTTAACCGGGCAATTTAATTTTTTACAAGAGAACGTTTGTGCGGATTCCTTTGAAAATCATTAGGGATTTGCTTCGCACTGTGAAGGGAATTCACTGAAACTAGCAGAGAAATCTGCAAAACCGGGTTCATGTAAGAAACTAAATTGCCGAATTAAAGGCAATAGCTGATGTGGCTTGGTTCCTTTCTGCTTAGCGCGGTCCAACGGTAAAGATCACCGGTGAGAGGTAGACTTTCAGCAGTCATCGGTTGGTGCGGTTTAATGAAAGCCGAGTATGGGAACTCGAGGCACGGGAGAGGAGACGCAATAAGATGACAAAAACAACTACTTTAAAATCCAAGACGGGGCCCTAAGTGCTGACTTCATCAGAAGAAGATGAGACTTTTGCCAGACTCAAAGCAAACAAGGCGGCACGGCGGCGGCACGTACGATGTACTTGCACCGTCCCTCCTCTGACGTAAGCGCGATACCACTCTTGAAGATGAGCCCTATTGTCCAGATAACTCCTTGCTTTACAGGGCTCAAGTAGAGATAAAGATACGTCCTTGCATCATAAAAGCGATGACATGTCCTCGCTCCGACTTCGCATGCAATCTTACAGCCAGAGCGCAAATGTGCCCGGATCCCCACTCATAGTTGTCAGTTTAAAAAAAAAAAGAAAAAAAGAAAAATAAATACGCTGTGGGTGATTGGTCACAGAAAAGCGATACATATCGATGGTTATTATCACTTATTATCTGCACACTGACGATTTTACAGTATGAAGAAAAAACTTCCCGATTGTTGTAATTGTGAGGATAGGTTTGCCATTTTTTCCTTCATTACAGCGTCATTGCCCTGCTCCCATACGGGAGTGGAAAAAACTAGAAACACCAGCATGCGTATTTTAAACTGTAGAACGCGGCAAAGTCGCAAATTAATTTTGGCCATAATGGAGAATTCGCAGGTGTCTAAAATTTGATGATTTCGTGTTTAAGTGGAAACTGCATTGCAAACTGAATACGAGGATACCCTTGGTTCATATATTGAACAATTATTGGAGGAGAGATGACAAAATTATCAAATCTGCTGAAATCTGACCGACACCTCATTGGAAGCATAGAACGAGCGGGGCATTGCGATTTTACGCCTCGTGCCATCTCGCGCGCCTTCAATTTTGCAGATGCAACACGGACATCCATCGAGTACGAATATTTGTATCTCTGCGCCGTCATCAAGACGCGTCCTTAACCATGACTTATTTCCATATTGTGATCGTTTCCATTGGAGAATTTGCGGGTGTCTGAAATTTGATGAATTTCGTGTTTAGGTGGAAACCACAAAGTAAACTGAACACGAGGATACCCTTGGCTCATAAATTGAACAAATATTGGAGCGAGAGATAACAAAATTATCAAATCTGCTGAAATACATATGTTTAAATGGGGATTGCCGCCAGATGACGTCTCAAGGCGGCACATTTTCCACCTTAAATTCTATTTTTCTACAATTTCCCATTTAAGAAAGAAAAAAAAACTATGAAACATACTGCGAACTCAGTTCACCGAGCACTTTCAGATGAAGCAATGAAACATTTTTTTGCAAATTCTCCATAGTCAGTTAGGAGTCAACTTCGGAATCTTAACTCCATGCCGATTTTCAGTTCAGAGGAGCCCAGGCAGTTAAGATCATTCTTTACTTGGTTCCGCTTCTAATCCCGCTGGTGATCGTAGAGTTGATATCGATTAATTCCTCTGCGTTACTCGTGTTGCAGGGGTGTTCGCTTCTACCGGGAGTGATAAAAGAGGCCATTTGCGTGTTTTTGCTCCGAACCGCAATGAGCTGAACTTCTTCCTGCGGTCATTCTGCAGTCTACAGGAGGGATTCCAGCTTCCTCCCACCCCCCTTCACCGCACTACCATGCTCTTAAAGTTACGCCCTTGCTCGAGCAGCCCGTTGGGGAACATGTGGAGAAATTAGTCGTCATTAGTGAGTGGACGTGACGCATTTTTCTCCTTGCGTTTTCTCCCAGTGGCGTGGCGTGCTTTGCG